CTCTCGTGTAGGACCCTGCAAGAGACACATGCCCAACTGGCATGTTCTCTCCCTTCTGGTTGGTCATTTGGGAGCTTCAAAAGCTTTCTTCATCCCAAACATCACAGTATCTCCTCACTTCCACTGTGTATTCATAAGGGATTTGATTTAGATTTGATTCTCAATGTTAGGAGCGTCCTACTCTCGTGTAGGACCCTTCCCGAGACACATGCCCGACTGGCATGTTCTCTCCCTCCTGTTCGGTTGCTCAGGAGCTTCAAAAGCTTTCTTCATCCCAAACACCACAGCGACTGATACAGGAAGGCATTAGCACGCTTAGGATCCGCAGAGTATTCACAGTTTGCATAACAGAACTCAGTAGCACAGCATTTTGGCTAATCTACCTTTATTTACATATAATACACTCGGAGCATTCTGACTTAGCTCCTTCCTCTTTCTCATCAGACAGCAAAGAGAGAAAGAACAAAGGACAATAGTCCCACATCACGGAACACAGTAACACAAACATCCTGTCTCCATCACTTCCCACACTGTGGAATGAAAACATACACTGTCATGACAACAATCCCATGACTGCAGACATGGAGCAGGAATCTCAGCATCTAACATGATTAGCCAGTATCTCCTTACCTTGGGACATCATGTTTCCCAATTCACTCCTTCTCAGCAGGAGGTGAAGTTCCCGCCTCAAGCACTGTTTGTCTTCCTTACTAAGTGCTCTCTGGTATTTAGGTCAGGCCTTAGGAAAAGTATGTATAACTTAGGAGAAAAAATGAAGCCCAACAAACTAGCACTAGAAATCAAGATGGAGAAGACCTCCACGGCCACCATGTATTTCCCTTTGGTGCTCAGGTAGGTGGGCACAAAGGACACCCAAACACTGCAAAACACCAACATGCTGAAGGTGATGAGCTTGGCTTCGTTGAAGGTATCAGGCAGCTTCCTTGCTAGGAAGGCCACAGTGAAGCTGGTGATGGCTAGGAGACCCATGTAACCCAGAACAATATAGAACATGACATCGGAGCCTTCGCTGCATTTCACTATTATCTGACCAACCTGAGAACGTGTGTCCAGTTCTGGGAAAGGAGGAAAGGTGCTCAGCCACACTACACTAATGACCGTTTGAATGAGAGAACAGAGAATGACGACTGAAACAGCCAGCTTTTTCCCAACCCATTTCCTCATCTTGTTCCCTGGCTTTGTGGCCATGAAGGCCAGAACCACAATGATTGTTTTGGCCAACACACAAGATACAGCCATGGAAAAGACGATGCCAAATGTTGTTTGCCTCACAAGGCAGGTCACCTTCCGGGCATGCCGATAAATAAGAAGGAGCAGAGAAAACAAAGCAACAGGGAGATGAGGAGGGTGCAAGTGATGCTCCAGTTGTTGGATTTGACAATGGGAGTATTGCAGTGCAGGATGAAGGCCGCCATCACTGCAATTGTGAAAACAGAAAGGCAAAGAGTCAGGGAAACCAGAACTCTTCCCAAGGGCTCCTCATAGGATAGGTAGCTGATGCTTTTGGGAATACATTTGTTCTGGCTGTTGTTTGGATGCTGATCTTCTGGGCAGTCCTCACATTGGTCTGCATCTGAAAGTAATGGAATCCAGTTTGTTGAGTCTTCAGCATGTGCGACAGTTGTTCTCTCAGGGCTTTATATGTCAAAGAGGATTGGCAAAAATCAATCCAATATTCGTCTTTGTCTTTAACACCTTTTATTTTTTCTTGTTTTTGCACAACACAGAACTAATAATAATAATAATAAATGTTATTAAAAGATTTTTAACTTGTAAATTTTATTAACTTACTTATACCAAACCCCATCCCAATTCAAGTTCCATACTTCAATCAATTTTCTTCTCTTTTCACAGCAAAGTGCAGAGGCTAGCTCATTGGCTGGTTATGAGATAATTTACATCAGGCATAGGCAAACTCCGGCCTTCCAGATGTTTTTGACTATAATTCCCATCATCCATAGCTAATAGGACCAGTGGTCAGGGATGATGGGAATTGTAGTCGCAAACATCTGGAGAGCCGGAGTTTGCCTATGCCTGATTTACATTCTGCTCTGCTAACAAACTTAATGGACATGTACCAGAATGATTCAAGTGTGTTTTTCTTTTTCTACCCATGGCAATTCTTAAGCTTTGTGCTAATTTTTGAAGCAAAGCTCCAAAATCCAAAAGCCTTTCTTTTCTTTTTTACCACATAGCTCTATTTTTCTTCACTTACCCATCTGGATTGAAATACTCCCACTTGGGCACGGAACACAGTCATAGCAACAGATTTGCTCCCCCTGCTTGGGAAACATGCTTTGTCCAGGATAGCAGTGCTCCACACATGAGGAACTGGGCGGGGTCTAATAGGCACCAGAAGAAAAGGCATTCAGAATGGAAATGGAACTTCTTTTTTAACACTAGTCTAAGTCTTAATATCATCTTTTTGGCACTCTAACAAAGCACATTCTCAGGAGTCATTGGGTGCATTGTGGGGTATATGCCAAGGTCTTAGTTTAGCAGTTGTCAGCCCATGTACTGCCTTTCCTCCAAAGCAACCTAGTTTCAACACACACCAACTTCTCTACCCTTATCCAATATCCAAGGAAGCAAGAGGCATTATCATAGAGCAAGGACACAAGGCAGGGCCAGTAGAAGGTGTGGCTGGGAGGGTGGTGGCCTGGGAAGAGTCTCAAAGACCCAATAGAAATGCCTGAAATTCTGGTTTCAGATGTGCTCAACACTGGGTGCAACTCAGTGCAACCCCCTGGAAACCATGGAAGGCAGTGGGGTGCTGTGAAATATTTTGTAGCAAAAGTTTGAGCAAGCCAAGGAGCCTTTGAGAGAGCAGTGGATATGCAGAGGTGAGCTGTTTGCATTCCAATGGTCCCACATTTAATATTGAGCATCTCCTTCTTGGGTCATTTCTCCTGTGAGAGCACTGTTGAATCCTCCTGCTTCAGAGGTGGGAAAGAGGTCCAGATGTGTTAATAAATTTACCTCTGCCATCTTGTGAGTCTCCAGGCTATTCTCACAAAATGGATATCAGTGAATGTAAAGGAGGAGAAGGTGGAGATCATTCTCACCTGCTGAAACTTGTGATTCCACACAACAGCGCTGCCATTCATGGTGAGCTCCTTCCCCGAAGGACTCAGGGGGTCCACCCATCCAACTTGGGTTCTCTGGAAAGACTCGTTGGGGAAAGTTACCAAGCTGATGAGATCAAATCCAGCTGCCAAGTCCCCATTCACATCAAAATAGATTTCTTCCCCAGCACTATTGTTAAAGTGGACGTTTCTCAGAAAAGGGTGAAGCTAGAATGGGAGAGAAATATTTAGCAGACAATGGGAAATGGGTTAATGTTTTTTTCTCTCAAATGAGCCCAAGTTGTGTCAAATAACTGCATTCCTCAGGTGTGTTTTTCTGAAGCATTTGAAAGTGGTGTTATTGTTTTCTAAGAGGAGCCCTGCAGTATCAGACCAAAGGCATGTCTACTCCAGTACCCAGGGAGAATTAAAGCTCAGGCCTGAGGGTGCTAGTGGGGACAGAGAAACAACTTACTAGCAGCATAGTCATCATTTGCAATCATCATTCCCTCACATGATTTATGATGCTCGGAAGTGTGTCTGACACACAGGCCCAAACCCACCCTTTTGGGCTCCCACATCTTTAGCTCTGGTGTCAACTGAACCAGGAGTTGTGGGTATAGCAAAGCCAATAGGAGGACCCTTTCAAAACCTCTTTACCACAATATCATTACCACCAAACATGAATCTGCAATGGTCTGCCCTTGCCAGATATTCAAATCTCCTCCATCAAAAGAGATTTAGAAGATGCATAAAATAAGTAGTCCAAGAATGGCATATAGCCAATACTTCTTGTTGTTGTTGTTTAGTTGTTTAGTTCTCTCCGACTCTTCATGACCCCATGGACCAGAGCACACCAGGCACTCCTGGCTTCCACTGCCTCCCACAGTTTGGTCAAACGCATGCTGGTAGCTTCGAGAACACTGTCCAACCATCTTGTCCTCTGTCGTCCCCTTCTGCTTCTGCCCTCAATCTTTCCCAACATCAGGGTCTTTTCCAAGGAGTCTTCTCTTCTCTTGAGGTGGCCAAAGTATTGGAGCCAATACAAGAAGCTTCCAATTGGTCTCTGCAGCTCAGCAGCAGATCTCTGGACTTCAGGGCAGAACTATGTGCCAGGTCATACAGTAACAGGCTGGGATCCAAAGCATGTGAAGCATGTTATCCAGGGGCGACTCATGTTGGTAGCTTCAAGAAGACTGTCCAAACATCTCGTCCTCTGTCATCTCCTTCTCCTTGTGCCCTCAATCTTTCGCAACATCACGGTCTCTTCCAAGAAGTCTTCTCTTCTCATGAGGTGGCCAAAGTATTGGAGCCAATACTAGAAGCTTCCAATTGGTCTCTGCAGCTCAGCAGCATATCTCTGGACTTCAGGGCAGAACTATGTGCCAGGTCATACAGTAACAGGCTGGGATCCAAAGCATGTGAAGCATGTTATCCAGGGGTGACAATCCTAGGAACCCACCTCATTTTGGGGCCAAAATAATTTTGGGTGTGGGAGCCAAAATTGGGCGGAAGTGGGTGCCAGCTCTTCCTCCTCCTTCTCCTGCCCTGGATGGGAAGGAGGTGGAAAGCAGCCCCTGACCAATGGTGGCAGCAGGAGAATGAAGAAGAAGAGGAGGCCAAGCCCCAGAGAGGAGAGGCAAGTCAACCATTGAAGCCGCACTGTCACCACCTGGCTCCTCCCAACCTGACTTCATGACGTGATGACGTGATGTCACACATGCATCATCCACACTCCACACCTGTCTCCCTCACCAACTGGCACATCTGGTGTGATTTGTGTCTGAGCTGTAGGTCTTCCTCTGCTCAGTGGCAGTACTAACATGGGTAAGCACCAGGAAACGTTGTGGATGCCGTATGAAATATGAAACAATAATAACAGAAAACTGTGTTTCTGTGTTACTTTATTATGTCTTCTGATTTAATTGAAGAAGCTGTAGCTACCTGCCAGGCCCCGACTTCAAGGATTCCCCTTGCTTTATGCTTGGCTCTTGAGGAATACATGGCATGAAGAGCATGGGCTACAGCATACACAGCATTGTAGATACTGTAGCTCTGGCCAGACATTCGCATTTCAAACACAGCTCTGGGGAGACTCTCCAGCCTCTCCTCCCCAGTGCAGTTCCCCCTGTTTGGATAATACAGGCTATATCTTGGGAATGAACAGAACAAAGCAGTGCACCAGAACTCCTTAAGAAAATAAAATGTAGACTGAAGAGGATTGATGGTCTCAAGAAAGTCCTGAAATCCTGGCACCTCCATGGTGTGGAGGGTGAATGACAGTGAGCCGTTGAATGATTTTTTAATTATTTTCTCCCCAGTCTGAACAGCCATAAAATCCCACTGAGCTGTAGTGATCCACACCCTTTCTAGAGGGTTCATTAAAAAGATTTCATTGGAATATAAAATCAACCGCAAACCTTCCAGAGACTGATTGTCTCCATAGACCAAAATCACATTGATTCCTGGCAATACAAGAGTTTTCAGGACTGGTATCAATCTTTGTTGGATTATCTCATCTGGCAATAGCTGCGTCACTGGTGGGATCACTACTGTCCAAGCTGGGCAAAGATTGTTCTGCAAAAGCTTTGGTCTCAAGTATCGAAGGAAAGTTTCTCCACTGTCATCATTGGAAACAAGGAGGCCAATCCAGTTCCATCCAAAATACATGAGTAGCTGAACAATGCCATCATACTGAGACTCTTCATTTGGGGCCAAACGGTACATAGAAGAGAAGTGAGTTTTCTCACTCAGCACTGGATCAAAGGAGCTGTAGCTGAGCTAATGGGAAAGAGAGAACACTTTTAGAGTTCCAGCAGCCAAGATCTTAATAATGAGATACTGGAAGATCTTAGGGGGCAAATAGTACTTGTGGGAAAATTCAATAATAATAAAAGAATGGCACAAGTCCCGCAACACAAAGACTCCTTTGGAATTGAATGGCCAGTGGATTATGCATATGGTGAAAAATGAGAATAGAGGGTGCCCTTCACAATGCAAAACTTTTTGGTTAACGTAAACTGTGCATCACCTTCAATGATAGTAGTCTGCGATAAACATTAAAATGAATTTGCTGTTCTCTTGTAAGTATTGCTTAAACACCAGCTTCTGGGTTAGAGTGAACTATTTATCATGCTATCTGATTTATGTTGTTCATCATCCTCCTACATGCTGGCAATAGTTCTTCCCAATCAAATGTTAAGCCACAATATTTTACTCCAGCAGGAGCATCAAGACAATTTGAAAGGCTAACACCACACAGAAATCATTGCAACAGTCAAATCTTGGGGTTACTAGTACATGAGTCTCTGCAGTCAGGCTACCGGTGACCAGGAACATCTGTAGCTAAGAAACCAGCCACAGCTGGGAAAAGACACTCATAAAGATGGATCCAGATGGATCCAGGAATGCCATCAGGCTAGAACCCTGTTTTTTCAGGAGGAGAGGAACCCCAACCAGGCAGGCAAATGACCAGCCTCTCAGGCACAGCCACCCACAGTCTGTCCACATTCCCAGGATTCAAACTCAGTTTCTTAACTCTCACCCAATCCATGACTGCATCCAGACAACCTTCCAGACCATACTCTGCCTCTTCTGACTCAGATGTTATAGAGAAACAGAGCTACTTATCGTCTGCATATTTATAATGCTTTGACCCAACACTCTTAATGACTGCTTCCAATGGCTTCATGTAGATTAAGACAGCAATGCAGCCAGCACAGATCAAAATAGACTTGGCAAAACTTGCTTTCAGACTGGTGGAGGAAGCATACATGAGAGGATGTGTTGCTATTTATATCCCTCCTCCTTGCTGTATCTGCCTACTTATACACATACCTGTGGAATCTTGTAGGTATTTAAGATGTTGGACATCTGAATGGAGTTTTGGGATGTGAGACATCCAATGACAGCCAGCACTTTCTTTCTCCTGACACAGTTATAATTGGGGTAGTGCACTTTTCCTAGGAATAGTAGGTCCTGAGTAGCCCCGGAAGTTCTCACGGCACTGAAATAATTATCAAGAACCTTTGCTGTCAGCGAGGTGTTGGGTAACAATTCAGGATTTTTGTTGACCTCATTCATGGCAAAAACAAACGCAAGGACATGTTGGTAGTTTTTAGGAATCATGCTGTCAATGTAGATGACAATCTTTTATTCTCACAACAGAGAGGCAGCCTGGGTTATGATTCCTACGTCTAAGTAAATTGGGTTATGATTTCTACGTCTAAGTAAATCACCTCTTTTCCTATCCTATGGGATAGTTGTTAAGATACAACACAATGTTGAGCTTTACGCAGGCAGCATATGCATATGCAGAAAATGATCCCTCTGGATCACTCTGTCATTCACCCTCAGGCAGCAAAATGTATTGGGCCAGCAAAGCCCATAGGAATGATTTTCTAGCTGCTGCCGACAAATCATGTTCATGAAAAGATACTAGCAGAAACTTCAGGAATTTCTAGTGCTGAACAATGGCTCAAGAGAAAGTCATCATTTAATCCCTGCCCTTCTGTGAAGTCCACTCAGGCTGCAATTATATTCCTGCTTACTTACAACTAAACAACTTATTTTCATTAAATAGGTCTTGGCTATCAGGGATCCCAGATACAATGCATTTTTTGCTTAACACAGACAGCATGGAATTTAAAGACAATTACAATGACTAAGGCACCCAGTGAAGGCTGTGACAGCAGCAGCATTTTCTATATATGTGGAAAATGATGATTGGATCACCTTACCCTTTACCCTCAGGCAGCAAAATGTATTGGGCCAGCACTGCCCAGAGGAACGATTTTCTAGCTGCTGCCCATATATCAGCTTAAAAAAATCATATTCATCAAAGGAGACTAGCAGAGACATCACTGAGAATGGACCCCTTAAGAAGAGAAAGGGGCAATGAAGGAAAAGTCAGTCCAAGCAGCTGATTGTAACTAGCAATCTTTGTGGTGTAGCAGAGGGTTTTCATGTGATCAATGACAGCATAAATATATAAAAATGGTATTACTTACTACCCCAGAGGAAGAGAATGTGAATGTTTTCTAAAGTCACTTAAAGGAAAATTAACATGGCCAATGGATACAAATTCAGCAATTATGATCTCATCTGCAGAACCTTCTGAGCTCAGATGGTGGCTTCTAGAATATTGCAGATACAGCAGCAGCAGCAAGATCAACTGAAGCACAGATAAATCCTGCTCCAAGCCACAGCCCCACACTTGCATGATGTCCTTCTCCACTCACTGTCACCACCAGCAGCAATTTTCGTCTTCTGACACAAGTTATACAAAGCTTCACTCTAGAAGTTATTCACTAGTGCACCAATTCCAACATGGGCTTTTGGGTGGAAGGACCTACAATCAAAGTCTGGGCTGACAAAGTTGTTCTTGTCTGTTGCCATGATACTCCCTGACTGAATTATACGCACATCATGGTTACGCTGTTTTTGATATTTGTGTAAAAAGTGATAATAAATGAGCCACTAGTTTAATGCAGCTTCCCAAAGTGACCTTGCTAATTACTGTCATTTCAGTAATTACAGGGCAATGCATCTTTTCCACCAAAGTACACAAGTATGAGCACAGACAAAGAAAAATGATTTGTTTCCATGCCAGAGCTAGAATTGGTGTGGTTCCTTTGCTTCATTCAAGCACATTCCTTCTTATAGGGTCCCAATGCTTCATCGTCTAACCACAGCCACCCACCAACCAGACCCCTCTGGTCACTTCATAACAGCATTATAATATCGGCCATTTTAGCTTCATTTCCTTTCCTAATGATCCCTAGCACGGAATTTGCCTTTTCTATGGCTGCTTCACACTGACTCCATATCTTCATTGTGCAATCCATTATGACACCAAGGTCACATACCTGGTCTGTCACCTCCAATTCACACCCCATGAGCATATATACGGAATTTATATATTTTTGCCCCAATTTGCATCATGATACAATCAAGGGAAGTCACAGTACCACTCTACTGTGCGTTGGGCAGACCACAACTGACAGGGTGACTCACACCCATGCTACTGGAATGGGGAATGTCTTTCAGTCCAAAGACTCTGCAAATTATCACGGTTAACATCTGAATGAGGCCAAAAGAGAATACAGACAATAGAAACAGATTTAGTAAATGTATTTTAATCCTCTCTTGCCTAATTAACAGACAAGTTCTTCATATAAACACATCATGAGCCTGCCTCATGTAGTGGACAGGGAATCATAGACTTAGAATCCTAGAGGTTTGGAGTTGGAAGGGATTCCATGCGTCATCTAGTTCAACCTGCTGCAAGGCAGGAATCTCAAATAAAGGAGCCATGACAGATGGCCATCCAATCTGTGCCTGAAGGAAGGAGAGTCCACCATCTTCCAAGGGAGTTTGATCCACCAGGCACAACGAGTTGGGCCCAACATGGGGGGCATCTTTTCAGGAACAATTCTGTGTGAGTGTATATTCCTTGGCAAAGGAAAAGTTAAGCACATGTTGAGAGCAGCATGCCATTGTCTCCGTGCAAAAGATCTCACCTCTCAGGGAAACTATGTGTTAGAGGGTCATCTGTGGGGTAGCCACACAAAGGGAATCCCATTAAACATGTAACAGAATCCTACAACCATATTATGATATTGTTTTGTTGATTCCAACTTTTAAAAAAACCACACAGTTTGAAAAAGGTTGTGGGTTTTCATATGAAAGCAAAACATCTGTGGGGTACCTTACTTTTAAGACGTCCTATGGCATTTGTCCCTATTCATTAACAAAATTTGGAGCTTATTTGCAGCTTTTTCTGTGAGAAGATGAGTGTCTTTTTCTGCCATGTATGGAGTTGGGTTGAAGGAACACATATTGGAAGGGTCTGGAAATGGTAGCTTAGCTTTTGGAGTACAGTGGTACCTCAGGTTAAGAACTTAATTCATTCCAGAGGTCCGTTCTTAACCTGAAACTGTTCTTAACCTGAAGCACCACTTTAGTTAATGGGGTCTCTCGTTGCTGCGCCGCCACCGCCTTGCAATTTCTGTTCTCATCCTGAAGCAAAGTTCTTAACCTGAGGTACTATTTCTGGGTTAGCAGAGTCTGTAACCTGAAGCTTCTGTAACCTGAGGTACCACTGTATTATCATTTTACTCAGGCAATTTCATCTAAGAAGGTGAAATTGGTTTTACTTCATTTCTTCAGTTCTTGGATGAATTTCTGCCAGAGGAGAGAGTACTTTTGAAGATATACCGGTAGTTTGTGGAGGTTTCTAGTTATTTGTACCCCTTGGTAAGCGACTGCATTAGCTTCTGTCTTTTCTTCTCCTTTAAGCCTTCTAGGATACAGACTCTGAAGAGACCTGTAAGTAGTAAACGTGAGCCAATGGTATCAAATTGTATGGGAAACAGCCTTGCTAGAAAAGCCAACCAATAAACTGAAACTGACACTGGGACAAATAGAAGAGGATGCCTTCACCCCAGTATGGCTCCCCTTTATCACATACACAGCCCAACAAGGCAATGGCTAGAAACCACCGACAGCATTCAAATCAATCTGGCTTCCCTGATACAAAGGCAAACAAACCGCACTGCAGCCAACCACAGACAACCCACCACACCCTCTCCCCCATAATACATCTTACTACCAAGGAATTGTAATAAACAATTAGAAAGAGAACCTACCCAGTTGATGCTGACACAAAGCCCTACAGGTACACTATGCAAAAGAATATAAGTCTCCCCACCCCACCTTTCCTTTCCCCCCTCTTCTTCCCCAACCTTATGCTGTACTCAACACTAATGTCTCTCAACAAATGTAACTGCTTTGTAAGAAAGACTGTACAACCTGGGGAAAAAGACAAGGCATGTACTTTTGTAAACCAATAAAATCTTAATTTTTTTTTTTAAAAAAGACATCTGAAGGCAGCGCTATATCAGGAGGTATTTAATGCTTGATGTTTTATGTTTTCAGGTATGCTGAAAGCCGCACAGAGTGGCTGGGGAAACCCAGCCAGATGGGTAGGGTATAAATAATAAAATTATTATTATTATTATTATTATTATTATTATTATTACTATTACTAGTTTCAGTAGAGAAAACTGAGCGGTTTGCACATTCAAGTACATAGAGATGCTGCATCCAATAGAGTGCTCACTATAGCAGCAAGAGGCTATCAGAATGAATAACACCAAGTATTTTCATATTATTTTACACTTCCCATTCATTTCAGTGCTTCCTGCAGAATGTTCTTGTTGACTGGGCTTAGATCTGTGTGTCTCCTGTTCACTCATCCCTAGCGACATCTCAATCCACCATCTGCAGTGACCATATGATGTCCCACCACCTCCCATTGGGCTGCCTCTGACGGCATTGGGCATCACACCTGTATGTTAGGATTGGAGTCATGAAATGAAAAGAGGGAGATGACATAAAAATAGGTAGTGTACATGGAATAGATCACTCTCCTTCAACCTTGTGTCTCCAGAGATTGTTGAACTACAACTACTTTCATTCCTAGCAAGCATGGGCATAAGCCAGAGATGATAGGAGCTGAAGTCCAATATTATCAAGAGACCCAATGCAAAAGATGCTTAGGCTTCTATGGGGAGAGACAAGAACCACATGTGTGAGGGTATCTGATGGAAACAGAAGGAGGGAAGGGTTGCCTGGCATGCTCTTATTCTTATTCTTATTATTCTATACCGCCCTTCATCTGAGAATCACAGGGCAGTTGACAATATAAACAATGAAGGAGTGCGTAAACATAGAGCTTACAATGAGGGGATATAGCTCAGTAGCAGAGCTCAGCTTTCCATGCATAAGGACACAATGTAATTACTAACATCTCCAGTTAAAAGAGCCCCAGCTGAATGAGAGAAAAACACTTTGAAGGGCAAGAGAGAATTTTTGCTACTCAAGGTAGACTGTAGTTAGATAGAAGGGCTAATGGTTTGAATCAAAGGAAGGGATATGTACATCCACAATCCTCTTTCTACACCCTGCACAAGTTTCACATTATATCAATTCAGAAACTTATACCAACTGTCCAAGGCACTGCTTCACAAGGGAGCAGATCTTGGGCTATAGTGGGATGGCACTGACATAGCACTTTGCTTATTCTGAGACTTGAGGACTTTAGCAAAACAGATTCCCCCACCCTGTAATTTTCATAATTATTGATCAGCATCACTACTACTAAATATCCCATGGGAAATCAGATGCCAGGCACAATAACAGCCACAGAAACAGCCCTTTCCAATTATGAGGACCCTGTGTTGTAGTCTATATAGGCACCTGTCCTATCAACTTACATGAATCCAGTTAGGGAGGTGGATTTGAGGCTGGTGCATAGCTCCAGGCAGGCAAGTTTCCCTATAACTTTAGCCAAGACTGAAATGCTGTTGATAACTAAATGCAAACATGATGACCTACAGCTGCAGTTCAGCACAAAAATGGTTAGCCCTCCACCTGCTTTTCCTGCTGTTGGAGCTGCATTGTTCTTCTAGCAAGTATTTGAACTCCTCCACAAGCAGATTGAGACAAACAATTCAAACCAATTCACTTGGTCCTCCAGCAGACATGATCATTGGTGAATTTATATCCGTTACGCAAGGAAACTTCAGAGTGCATGAATATACGGAAAAACCCAAAACCTCTTCGTTTACAATTTCGTAAGTAGTTATTTATTTATTTATTTATTTATTGGAGAATTGTCTACTGGGCCCACTGATCATTCTTGATGAAATAAACGACTGCATCAGCTTCTCCTTTAATCCTTCTAGGATACATTCAGGCTTATGTCCTACCACTTGAATTAGCTTCTGTCATTCTACTATGTCCTCCTCACAGGACCACTGGTGCCCATGCAGAACACATGACCATTGGGGAAGGCTGGAATGAAGTAGAGAAAGGAGAACCAGCAGCAACAACCACCACCACCCTTAACTTCACTCATAATCACACACAGAGAGAGATACACATACCTCACAAGGACACTGTAGGACAACACAGCCAGCAAACTGCAGCTCCCTCCTCTTCCTGAAAGTGCAAAATCTGCATGCATAAACCCAAGCATTTGGGACACATTTACTTGAAAAC